GAAAGGGATGACAGATGTGACTGTTCAGTGCAATGGCCAGAGAGCAAAACTTCCAGTCTATGTGACCAAGGAAATGAATGTAGAAGAGCAGTCATATGACATGTTGACAATTGATACACACAAAGGGCTTTTCAGATACTGTGGGTTGCCTTTTGGAATCACATCAGCCCCGGCACTGTTCCAACGAGCAATGGATCAAGTGGTCAGCGGATTGTCTGGGGTGCAGTGCTATCTAGATGACATTCTGTGCACAGGAGCAAATGACAAAGAACATCTGCACAACTTGAATGCGACTCTTCAAAGACTGGAAGAGTACAGCTTGAGAGTAAGGAAGGAAAAATGTGAGTTTTTCCAGTAATCTGTGGAATATTTGGGGCATGTGATCAATGCAAAAGGGTTACAAACTGCACCTTCAAAGACTGCAGCCATTGTGGATGCACCCCCTCCTCAAAATGTCAGTCAACTAAGATCCTTCTTAGGGTTGTTGAACTATTATGGACGTTTTATTCCCAACTTGGCATCTCTGCTACGACCCTTTGCACGAATTGCTATGCCAAGATAAAACATCAGAGACTACATAAATCCCTACTAACGTACCGCAACACCCCTCATGCAACCACAAAGACATCTCCTGCTATCTTGATGCTAAAGAGAGAACTGCGTACCATCTTTGACCTCCTGTAACCGACAACGGTTAAAGATACTGTTCAGCGACAACAAGAGAAACAGATAATGCCCAGAGAACATCTTGCCAAGAACAGAGTTTTCATTCCAGGAGAAGCTGTACTGGCAAGGAATTATTGCAGCGATCCTAAGTGGATTCCAGCCGCTGTTGTTGCTCAAACTGGACCTGTGTCTTATACTGTACAGACTTCTGATAGTGTCTGGAGAAGACATGTCGATTAGCTTCTACAAACCTCACCAGTGCCTACAGAGCTGCATCTTGGAGAGTTTTCAGATGTAGTTGTCAACACATCAGTCCAACTACCAACAAAAGTGCTGGACCCCACCACACCAGAGACGAGAGTTCCAGTTGCTGATATGACTGAAAAAGAGACTGGGACACCTATTGCATCAGCACCTTCAGCCAGTTCACCATCGAGAGACAATGAACTTGTTCTGAGAGAACGCCAATATCCTGAAAGAGAGAGACGGCCTCCTGCCCGCCTGAGTTATAGGTTAGAGTAGTGACCGCCCCAAATCTCTGGGGCAGAATAATCCCCTTGGGATTGGTCAAGGGAAGCGGTAGTGTACCCTCGACCCTAGGTTAGTGTTGAAAAAGAAAAATGCAAAATGTCAGTGTTTTTGCAGAATTAGTTGTTTGTGTAATGTCATAGATGTTCCTAGACATATTGAATGTTTTGTCTGTGAACTAAACAAAACAATTGAACAGCTCCTTTATGTTTATTTCATAGTACATTCATTGTAAGAGGGGAGGAGATGTTATGTATTTTGGCCTACTGTGACCTCCGTAGAAGAGTCGCGCATTGAATGTTGGGACATGGGTTATGTTACCTTGTTACTACGAGTCATGCCGCAGTTACACCATGCTGTTGTAATCATCCAATAAACAGTAACACGTTCAGTCGAAGTACGACTATTGTTATACGGGCACCCAAATAAGGTGGAGATATAACACTTCCATCTTGTGTATTTTTCTAAACCTTGCAAGAATCAGCTTTAAATTTGCTTCGACTTTTCTGTCATGTCGACTTTATTCATAAAGCTTTAAAGGAGCGATATTTAACTCTGACCCCTAGTGTTTAAAATGGATACTGCAGTCCAAATTTAAAACATTGTCGAGAGCTGTCTTTCTAACGTCTGGCACTAATACTCTCCTGTGGGGAGTTTAAAAAATAATAATTCAAAGCTCACCGAGCTCTAAAACCACCACCAGTTGAATGATGTATATAAAAGGTCAGTGAAGAAATGTTGTAGTAGTTGAGTTCCTTTGAGCAAAGCACTGAACCCCCGAGGATCTTCTTCCAGCTGCTGTGAACCTTCAGAGGAGGACTGACTGTATCTGAGCTTCAATGTGACTGTGTCTGTACGAGTGAGGAACACAATGTCCTGAGTCAGTGTTTCCTGGAAGAGATTAAAAAGAGAAGCCGAGCCGAGGAGAACAAAAAAATAAGTGGGAGGAAGTCATTAATCTTTCTGCTTTTCGTCCTGCGAGCGACTGTCGGTGCATCAGCAGAGGTGAAACGTGCGACTCGACGTCATGAAACTGTAATAAAAAGTGGAGAAGCTCCGCGCTCCAAGATCAGCCAAAGTCAGCCGTGTTGTTTTAGCCTAATGGGCCGGAGAGCGTGAGAATAATTATTTAAAGCCCGGGAGGTTCTGCATGAGCAAAGTTAGATAAATGTGAGGATCTTTGTAGTTTAACTTCCCCTCAGCAACAAGCCGCCGGCTTAAATACCAAATATCTTAATGGGGTAATAACTCAGCCGAAGTGGTTTTGCTCTCTCATCGAGTTTATTTAAGCGGGTGCAGGAGAAACAGGACTTTAAAAAGTTTAACAGCTGTAATGAGAGGCTCTGCGATCGTTGGCTGTTTTCATTGATTATTAGCAGAAAAGGAGTGAGAGTGGAGGGCTAACACTGTTCATGTGGTCGTGTTTACACGGCCTGCATATTCAGCTGGGACTAAACAGTCAGAGCTCATAGAGCGGCTGGGCTGGTTTTTTAAGTTGCTGTATTTACAACACGTCAACTGTGGAGTCTCTTGCAGCACTCCGGTTTGTTCTTCAGTCTTTGATGAGTTTTTGATCTTCCTCTCCAAACACAAAGCAGTCCGTCGCTGCAAACCCTACCTTTGCTCTTACTCTTCTAACAAACCGCAAACATCTCTAGGAGTTATCTGCAGCGGATGAGGAGATTTCAAATTTACAGATCGAGAAGCAAAAGATGCTTTAACTCCTCTCGTTGCTTTTAAAAAGAGGAGCACAAGTATAAGTTCAGGGGCTGAATCCTGCTAACGCAAGACGCCCAATAACTGACAATCCCACTCCCACTCAGTACATCCTGTTTTCTACTTTCTAAGGTTCATTCATTATCTATACCGCTTTTTCCTGTTCAAGGTCACGGGTGGCTGGAGTCGATCCCAGCTGCTTATGAGCGAGAGGCGGGGTTACACCCTGGACTGATCACCAGCCAATCACAGAGACAGACAACCAGCCACACTCACATTCACACCTACGGACAATTTAGAGTCAGCAGTTAACCTAACGAGCATGTCTTTGGATTGTGGGAGGAAGCCGGAGTACCTGGAGAGAACCTACACATGCACGGGGAGAACATGCAAACTCCACACAGAGAGGCTCCTGTCAGACGGGGATTCAAACCAGGAACCTCCTCACTGTGAGGGGAGAGAGCTAACCACTGCAGCACCATGTAAGACCGACTCTCAAGGTTATTCAGGTTATTTTAAAGCTGGGCTCTGATTTTTCTTAATCTTAACAACCAGAAGAAAAAATTTAGAAAATGATTCGATTCTTGGGCTGTGATGGTTTCTTAAAAGTACTACCACTTGATGTTTTTGTCTCTGACAGGCTCAGATTGTTACTCTCTTAAACTCGGCCATGTTGGAAATTTAATGACCGAGAGGTTCACATGCTCGTGTAGTTTCTTCAGCCAGCGGTAGTGAAACAGTTACGGCTACAACACTGTCCTCAGAGGCAAGGAGCCCGATCAAGAGGCGTCCACTAAAAGTAGATTTTGTCTCTGACGGGCTCCGGTTGTTTCTCTCAGTGTGTGACATCATCAGAGTGTGACAGAGAAAGATGTGGCTGCTGCAGCCATCCCTTCAAAGCCACAAGACTCCTCTGACAAAAAGTCAGATCAACTCTCTTCCACGTCTGCAAAGAAACATGGAGTGATGACGCTACATGGTTTGGTCAGAAACACCTGCTTAACTCTCTCCATCTGCTCACATTCATCTTCCTTTATTGGCTCTGTCGTCTGTAGCTGTTAGCTCGTGCTCGTCATAAACGATCAGGCCTGTTTCTGTGAGAAAAATCATCCGCGAGTTAATCATGTCTGCGCGCAGAGAAACGCCCTCCTCTGATTGGCTGCAAGCGAAGGACACAAACACCCACAATCTTTATAAGCATCATTTATTCTGTCGAGCAGCATCTGGTTTACGGCGCGTCGCTCTGATAAATGGAGGTGTGTGGTCGGGATATTAGCCGCGCTTCCTGCTGCAGAAAATCTGCTAAATTAATGACTTTGTAATTTTGGCAATTATTGGATTTGTCACGGATAAGACGTGGAATCAGAGGAGAACCTTGAAATGATTCACTCCGAATAGAACTGGAGGAAAACGGGGAAATAAACCAGAAATCAAAATGTGGAAATATGAGGAGGAGTAATGGACACGGTGAAAAACATTTAGAGAAAAATTATTAAATACACGTTGATATGTTAGAAAAAGACAGATGTATTTATAGGAATACAAACATAATTTTTTAATAAATAAATATAAACAGAGGTGAATCAAGCAATAACAATAGTTATGTAGGGCGGGCCTTTAAGCCTAACGACCTCAGAAGTGATTCATGATTTCATAATACTACCTTTTTCTCACCACATTAATCATTTCTTTGTTTTCTCTTTGAATTTCCATTTTGAAAATTATATTTCTCGTCTTCTTAGTCCTCAAAGCTCTTTTACACTGCAGGTCACACCTACACATTCACACACTGATGGTAGAGGCTGCTGGGTAAAGAGTCCATCAGAAGTTACTCATCACATTCATACGCTGCTGATGAAGCAGTGGGAGCAACTTGGGGTTAAGTTTCTTGCCCAAGGACACATCGGACATATAGCTGCAGGAGCTGGGGATCGAACCCCCGACCTTCAGGTTGAGAGAAGACCGACTCTACCACTGAGCCACAGCCGTTTAAACTGTCTTCCTGCGTGATGATTTCTATTGTGTTCAGCGAAGTCTACAACGAGCGGTTTCTGTGCAGCTGTGTCGCTCTTTTAGTCTGTTTTCTCTTTGTGGAGTTTGCTCTCCTACTAGCTACAGTTCCCTAGTTGAGCTCTCAGCCTGCAGGGAAAGTTGTAAAGCACAAACTACTAGCCTGCGAGTTCTCTGCCCGTCTCCGCTGGTCACTCTTTAACTTTAATATAGGACTTTTTCAATCAATAGAGGAAAAGTTTATTTACGGAACAATATACCACTGTTTTCTGTAAATGCATGATTACTACCGTGTGAGGGAGAAAAGATGCGAAAAATGTTGCGCAGCCAGCCTGGTCTGTGTCGCTATTTTTAAAAAAAGGAGAAAGTGAGACAAAAGGAACAGAAAAAACAAGCCCTCAACTAGTCGCCTCAAACTCTGTTATCCTCCAGGACTGATCGCCATGAAACCGTAAACTAAAGCTCTACAAGGCGTTTTAGCATGACACTGAGGAAGAGAGGAGAACTGGTGGACAGAAATGAAGGCAAGGAGAATGATTGCAGCTTTGTCTCTGAGACTGAAATCTGTGAGTCTGAAATGTGAAACAAAGAAAATGAGAAGAACAAGTGTTCCCTCTATAATTTAAATTTTTCATTCCTGTTATTGTATTCATTCTCAGACTTTTTTCCGCTGTTGCACGATCCTGGCGAGGTTGCCTGTTGTTTTTGGTTTGTGTGGAGTCTCGAGAGAAAGAGACAAATTTTAAAAATATGAATTTGATTTAACCTTTCAGTCTGTATGGATGCTGCGTAGAAACAATTAATCCTGTTTCAGACTTCCCCCCTCTGAATCTGAACATTACCGACTTGGATGATTTTTTTTTCTCTTTCAGTTTTCTTCCGTTCTTTATTTGTATTTTTTGACAGAGTATAAGAAACACCCAAATGAGATACTTGTGTTTTTATTTGTTTCTCTGTGCGGATTACACTCTGACACATCCTCCTCTCCTCTCAGTGGGGATGAACCGGAGCTGAACTCCGCTGCAGAGGTGAGGAAGCAAACAGAAAAAGAATAAGCCTCTAAAGCGGCCTGTCATCTCTTTTACACAATCCTTTCTTTCTCCTGCAGCTGCTCCCTTAAATACCCAGAATGCTCCTCACCGAACAGAATCAGCAGACTCTTTAATGAACCCGCGGCTGGTTATCTTGTACTGGAGAGCTCAGCACATCAGTTACATCAGCTCAGTTTGGCGTCCTCCGTCCTGTTTGGGACTGAAACTACTTTGTCCTGGTTGCAACCCATTTGTCTTCCTCCCCCTCGATCTCGCCGCTTAACAAACGAGCCTGAGAGTTGCTGAGCTGTTCCTGATATGGTGGCAGCATCTCTCCGGGGTCACACGGGGAAGGGGGCGGCTTGGTGCGCCACGTTCTTGCTGACCTATTCACTACCTGCCTCCTAATGGGTCATATTTTAGCTCCTGTGGCGGTGACAAATGGCCGTGCTCTAAAAGCCCTGTCCGTGGTGCTGAAACTCGCTTGATCTATGACTGAGCACCGCTGATAAATGCCTCCCATCAGTCTGCATGTGACGCCGATTCATCACCTCGCTCAGGTTTGTGTTGGGATCCATATTGGATTTTTAATGAAAGAGAATATAATGCAATTCAAAGTCAATGGGTTTGCCAATGCCTTTGAACTTTCCACGCACACTCATTAAGCACACACACACACACACACACACACACACACACACACACACACAGGATAACGCCTCACACGCTGGTCGTGCCGTTCCAGATTGGATTGCACTTCCCTAACAGTGTTAGCGCATCTGCCATGAAGGGCAGCTCCTGTAATCGTGTTTGTCTGCAGCAGATCAGCAAAGCGCACAAAACACAAAAAAAGATTTACGAGCTTCATCCGTAACAATTAACATTCAGCATCCGACCGTTTCTTCATTTCTGTGGGCGAGAGAAGAAAGCGTGCAAATGTAACACGAGAAGATAGAGTTATAAGACACCACACAGGTTTAATGAAAAATGTATTTGTTCATAAAATTGTTTACATTATAGTCGGAGTATTTTACACTAGACTAACACGTTTGTTTTTCTGTTATAAACTATCTTCGCTCGGCACCGTTGAATGTAACACAGCAAAGAAAACGCTTTTTGCAGACAAGAAAGCCGTCTCAACAGAGTATTTCAGACAGAAGCGTTCCTGTGCTGTGCTTTACTCTGGTCGCACTGCATGAATGACGGGTCGCCACGTAGATTATAGTCCAGTTATCTTCCTGGTTAAGCTTGTTATAATGACACAAGTTTGGAATACAAAACAGTCTCTGCGTTTAGCTGGTTGAGTAAATGTATACAAGCTGTCCTCAGCTGAGTTCAAGTGCAGAATGTCCCGTTGAAAATTGTGAAAAGCCGGCACATAAATTACATCGTCCAGCATCCGTCATTTGTTTAATCCCAAAGTGCTTTCCCAAACAGAACGTTCCTCACATTGAGCCACCCTGTAAGTCTATCACAGTCGCCCTCACTTTCACCCCAGGTGCACCAAATTCCAGATAAGAAGAAGAAGAAGAAGAAGAGGACGTTTGAGTGTCTGGAATCAGCAGTATTTCCCCCTGGTCCGCTATCAGTTTCCTGTAAAACACCTGGCTATACAGAGATGTGTAGATGACAGAGCAGGACACGGCAACAACGATAAAAATCACGGCACAGGAAGCCATCACCAAACTGTCCCAGTTCTGGATTTTCTCCCTCTGGACCATTGCGTCCTTTGTGGTCACGTTGACACAGTCCCGGCTGTTCCCGGGCCGTCCTGCAGTGACCTCAACACAAACCTTGTATCTGGTGGAAGGCTTCAGCTGTTTGATGCGGTACTCTTTGACATCAGCAGGAAGCCTGGCTTTGAATGGCATCAAAAGGTGACTTCTGTCAGCCAAAATCGACCATTTGAGCTGCGATACCAAACCACCTGTACTCTCCCAGGAAACCATGACAGAGTGAGATTGGATTGATGTGATATAAACATGTAAAGGTCCATTAGAGGGCTGTGAAATGTGTCCGTCCACCGTAACCATCACAGACCTCAGATCTGCACCGACAAGATTGTGAGCGATGCAGGTGTATGATCCAGCTTCCTGCTCGGTGGCGTCATATATATCAAAGGTTCCCTCAGGATGCATGTAGTACTTATCAGAAACACTCCCAGGTAAGACCCTGTCGCCTGATGGCGTCACCCAGTAGATCTCCGGCTCTGGTTCTCCAAACGCCCGACAGTGCATCGACACAGAGCTCCCTTTGACCACTCCGACTCGATCTGGGAGACTCGCGGGTGAGATGAGAGGAAGGCAGATCTCCGTCATCTCTCTGAAGTGCACCTCTTGAACGTGCTGGCCTTGATACTCCGGAGGCTCCACACAGAACAACGAGTCGGGCTCCATGAAGCGTACAGCCGTCCTGTTCATGTTGACCCAGCGGATAACGCAGTCGCAGCGGATTGGGTTGCTGTGCAGGCTGACCTCTCGCAGGTTGGTCAGGGACTCCACTGTGCTGTGGTGGATGGCGCTCAGAGCGTTGCTGTTCAGCATCAGAGTCTCCAGTCTGGGCAGCTTGTGGAAGGCTCTGGGGTGGATGTAGGACAGCCTGGGATTGTTGGTGGCCTCGATTTTTGTCAGCTCCGGCAAGTTGTTCAGGGCAAAACTGTCAATAGATATGAGCTCAGGCATGCTGTTGATGCCGAGCTCCTTCAGGTGCATCATGTCCATGAAGTCGCCTCTCTGGATCCTCTCAATGGGGTTCTTATTTAAATCCAGAAACTTTAGATTCTGCACTCTTGATAAGGCTGCTCTTGGGACTCGATTGAGCAGGTTGTCAAAGAATGAGATGCTCTCCAAATTCTCAAGGCCATCCAGAGCATTATCAGGAATTTCAGTCAAGTTCATTTTGGCGAGCACAAGGCTTTGCAGGTTATCCAGAGGTTTGAAGTTCATGTCCGACAGCTCCAGAATGGGGTTTTCTCCAAGCATCAGTATCTCCAGGTTGGGGAGTTGCTGGAACCACTGGCTGTCGATGCTTGTCAGTCGATTGGAGTTGAGATGAAGCCTTATCAGCCGACTCAGACCCTTGAAAGCTTTGGGGCGGATGGAGTAAATTTGGTTGTGGTTGATGTAGAACTCCTGGAGGTTGGGCAGGAAAGCAAGGCAGCTGTCAGAAAGCTCCTGAATCCAGTTCTCCTCCATGTGGAGTGACAGCAGCTGGTGGAGCGGCCCCAGACAAACATCGCCCACAGAGGAGATGTTATTCTGGGACAAGTCAATCTCTGTGATGTTGTCCAAGTAATCCAAAGTTTTCTCCACTTTCATGATGTTGTTTGTCTGCAGCAGCAGCACCTGAGTGTCTGAGGGGAGTCTCTCTGGGAGCCCTGAGAGCCCCAAGTCATTACAGTCCACAGTGGCAGCCTCGGCGTACACAGAGCTGGGTGAGAACCAAGGTCGTATCTCACACCGACACAATGCCGGGCAGTGAGCGCCCCCCTCAGAGGCCAGAACAAAAGCCGCCAGAGACAGCTCAGCCAGCAAACAAGCCACAACTGCTGTCTCCTTCATCTTGGCCTCGTATTCTCTTCAACCGGTAATTGGCCCTCGCGGAGTCAGCTGTTAGCGCTGTTAACTTCACAAATAAAAGCTCATTTGTTACTGTGGTAAGACAGAGTGGATTTCTGCTGACTCCTGGTCCCTGAAGCTTTGGCCGTGTTGCCTCTCAGCTCTTGGCACAGACAGGGCAACCTTTCAGTTCGACGTGTGCCAGGTTGTCACGCACACACGCTGCGATATGTCAAGGTCGATGTATCCTTCAGGGAGCGGTGATGCGCAGCAGAGGGGCGGTTGAGGAATGCTGCGACTCCGGCTGGCGACAAATCACTCCACCTTCCATCATTATTATCCTCCGTCGCTGTCAGCGGTGTCAGTTTCCATCTGGGGAGAAAGGAGAGAAAAAGGACTCATATCACTCGGTGCTGTAGAGAAATAAAGGCATTTTGACATTTAGGAATATTGAGACTTATTACATCCTTTCAGCCTCATTTGATTTTATCGCCTTCTTAGCACCATGGTAATCATAAGTCATGATTAACCTGACCTTATGTATATTATTTGACAGGTGTGAAACCAAAAAGAGGTACTTTTAGAGTCTTTTTATATCGCTGAAGGGCATGAGGACTTTGTCAGATGTTCTCAGTCAAAGCAGGGGAATAAAAGTGGCAGAAAAGTTTTTCGCTCTAAGGTGATGCTCAAAGAGGAGTAGGTTGATTCGAGAGGCAAACACTTCACGTCCTCATGTTTTCCCCAGTGTTTTAATTACCAAAGCTTCTACCCTGCCTGAACCTCTCTTCTGTGGTGAACAATGCACCTGCTCACACTCATCACATCACCCACACAGCACAACAAGCAGACAGTTTGCTGCATCTGATACACACAACCTCGAGGATTTGTACATCCACCAAAAATATCTGCTTGCCGCGGGTTCCCTGCCTCGACTCCTCGCCTGCTTTTTTTTTTTTGCATAATTCATGAGGCGCTGAATCAATGTTGTTGGTGCAGGTGACAGGTCTACGGTGGGCTTTGCCTATGTCGACTGCACATATTGATGTTTTGATTAATTTGTGACCTTGAGTGCAGAAGCCACGGCTGAGTGTACAACAGTAGATGAAGCTGTCGGTGGAGTCTGGAGCCGCCGGTTGCTGATGAGGACGAGCCGTGACACTTCATGCATATATTTGCTTGTTTATGGCAGACTGTGTGTGCAGGTTTGCAAACCTGAAAGAGTTCCTCTCTCACTTTATCCCCCCACCATGTCTGTCTTTTTTCACTTCTTGTCCGAGTAAAAACCAACACATCTCTGGATACTTTCTTTCCTCCCTGCACCGACTGTGCTCTCAGCTCTGAACCGATGAGTTCATTTTAAAGTTTTAAATGAAATGTGAAATCTTATTTTAAAAAGCTTAATACTTTCCTAAGAGCTCGATGCTGTAGCTTCCTTCAAACATGACTCCAACAGGAGGATTTGGTGTGTTTACTTGGACTATTTTCAGCTGAGGATGAGTCTACATTTGGCACTTCAGGCTAAGGAATTAGATCAGATTTTTAACTGTCAGGCTTTGCAAAACGACCAGACTCCATTGTTATAAACATACATTTTGCAGAACACAGGCGTTACTGGTCTTCTGCTGTTTCTGTTTGTTTGTTTTATGTTAAACGTTGGTGATTTAAATGTTGAGTTTGGCGCCCATCTGATTGGGGCAGCGATAGACGTTCACAGGCCACTCCCATAATCTTCAACCTTAAGTCTGGGTTTGGTAGCCCTGAAAAGAGCTACAAAAATGCCTGTGGATAAAATAAGCATTTTACTCTTTCCTAGAACTACTGGTAATGTTGTGAGACACTTACTTGACACACTAACAATCAGAGCATATCAGGGACAAAAACATCATCTTTAGGAGGATAAACTGTTGCCCCAATTCTTCACATTGCAACCATTGTAGCGTATATCCTGCTGACTGAAGTAAAGCTGCTGGAGCAATTCCAAAAAAGTCCCCAACCCTGCAGGAAGCGTTTGTTGTTCCTACATATTCACAAACAGAAAGCATCGACTAAGACCATCAGAGAATCTTTTTTTTGGTCTAGCGTAGGTTGTCAAAGGTGCTGACTGATTATATCGTGTATTTATAGATTTGGATCCAAAAAGGCTTGTTTTGGTAGTTTTGGAAGCCAGTGACAAACTGTTTATTTTTTCATAAAGTTTAGAGGACTTAAAGAAAGAATGTGTGACTTTTTGATCAGCATGAAACCAAAACAAACTGCTGTTTGGCCACACCTCCTCCATACTGAAGCCTCCGCTCTCCTCCAGAGATACAGTCATAATTAAGCACCATTAAGCTCAGGCGGCGGACAAAATTGTCCTCGGCTCGAGTTGTAATCACCTGTGTCCTGCATTGTTGTGTTAGCATGCTAATGTTAGCGCTCTTTAGTTAGCTCGTAGCTTCACAATGCATGTAAACTGACACAGAATGACGGAGATTACTCTTACTCTTACTCTCTTACTAACATCCAAATAATCAGTGAGTATGTTCTTCTTCTCTCTAGTCCTTGACTAAAACAGCTTTTATACACAAGGGAGGAGCCGGCCGTCCCGTCCATGTAAACACGACTCTGACAACAACACAGCCAGCAGGACTCAAGCTTCTCACTCATTGTAGACAGTTATGACTCAGAGACACATTTACACAGGATAGATTTGATGCCTGATATATTTATGTTGATCATGTCGATCATTTTTCCTTCAAGCAGAAAATCATGTCTCAAAAGTAGAATTACCCCAGGCCCTTACTGTTGCTAATTGTCTTTTAATCATACATCATTTTTGAATTCAAGACTCATAATTGAGCATGTTTCATCTTGTTTTCTTTTGTTAAGTCTTTGAGTGCTTCCGCCATCCCTCTCTCTCCTCAGCCATCTGCGCGAGCCACCACAAACACTTTCATCCAAGCAGCTCGCTGACAACAACGTTAGCACAAATCAATCTCCCTTAACAACACACAACTCTTCACTCCATATATAATTAGGAGAGATTGGATGCATTGTGGACCCTTTCTTCCTTCACATTTGCGTCTTATTATCTCTTCATGGAGGAATACTTTATATGACTCGCTTCCGTTTGCAGTGTTCCCTCGCTCGTCTTTGTTTCGCTCTTATGCAACCAATCAAAAGCCCCGCAGGCGTCTCTCTCTCCACAGAGGCCGTTTGGTATCTGACGTTACAGTATTATGTAAATGTTTCTCCTCCGAGATGGGAAACAACTCGTTTATGTACAGTGTTTAGGTAACAGCAAAAAACAAGTCATATGCTAATGGCGGGTGCATGGCGTGAATGTTAAATGGAGTGTTTAATAGTGGATGTTTTTCTCCTTCGGTTGGCGAGCGTGCTCTCGGGAGAAGACGTGCTACGCTAATTTAATTTCTCCTGTTTACTTCCGCGATGCTTGTGCACTCATTTCCCTCTTTTTACTTAACAATGAGAGCCGGCAGTGACTCTACACATTTCCTTCATCATGTGCACACACACACACACACACACACACACACACACACACACTCACTCCCTATCTCTCTCTCACACACACACACACACTCGCTCTCTCTGTGTCACTGTTAAAAAACAAATATGTCCCGTAAGAAATCAGTTCTTTTCAGGGGAGTTCATCTGAACAGCGAGCGTCCTGCATCAGCCACACGGCCGCCTTCTCGTCGTGTTGATATCTTTAAACACTCAGTGGACAGAGAAGACTCTCTCTACCGCTCTATGTATGTATTTGAATTTGGAATATCTTTTGAAGTTTTTTCAGTAAATCTTCTGAAACTTTTTGAAACCATTTTCTGACTCAATCATTCACACCACAAAGACCTGAGTCTCTCTTAAGGACCCCCGTGAGGTAAGCATGAGCAGTCACACCATGGCACACTTCTACTGACTTTTACTACACACCTCATACACACCTAGCAACCGAGTGAGGAGAGTTGCAGTTAGTCCCTCTCCGGGGGTTCGAGCCTCCGGGGGCTAATCTAGGGTCCTGAATCAAGGATTATACTTGAATCTAATTAGTTTAGAAATTAATTTTAGGCAGATAATCCTAGGGCTATGTGGTGTCATTTTACATAGATCCAGGTACTAGGAAAGAGTAGACTAGCGGCTGGTAGGGAGCAAGCCCTCACATAGTTCTAGGAAAGAGTAGACTAGTTAACTAATGGGTGGTGAGCTTCCGTTAGCTATAGTAAAGTTATTCACCCCTTTATGCATGTCCAGGACATGTTACACCGTCCTGTCTCCATGACAACAGTCTGTTGACAAGGTCCGCTGTATGACCAACACTGCTCCATTACTTTTTACTGCATGTTTTATATTTGAGATGGTTTATTTCCCGATCAGACATGAAGCGAGGAGGATGTTTGTACAAGACACGATCAGTAGCAGACAAACTACGGGGAATATCAAACATTTGGAAAAGAGCGCCGGTGATATCAACAGCTCATAAAAAGGTGAAGAACTCGAAACAAAGACGTTGGGCGCCGCCTGCTGCTGCAAATGCTCTACTCATTGAAAACAATTGAAAAAGATGTTGGTGTTTAGAAAAGAAATGCTAGGTGGACACAGGGCCTCACGTTAAGACTCCACTTCTTCAGGTGAGGACGCCAGGCATCACGTTGGAGCTGCTTGATGGGCGTATACCCTGGACCTTTCCACCCAGTCTTGATAGTCAAGTTTTTCGCTGTAGGTTACGCAATCAGTGACGTAGCCTCAGTGAATGCACCGGACAAACGGACAGCTGACAATCTGAGCCTGTCAGTGACAAACAACAACTTTTAGGGGACTCATGCAGCTATTACAGCCGGTTTGTGTGCACGCCTGGCTTATTCATATAAAGCAGCATTTAATAAAACTTCAGACTATAAGACGTGTACTAACAGGACCCAGGGTTAAAAATACTTGACTTTCCCTTTAACAAAAGGAAACCATGTTAGCAGGATTCTATCTGAGCTCCTCACCACCGCCTCACACCCACTTGACAAGAGTGAGTAGCGGTGACATCAACAGCACAAAAAAGGCTAGTGGTTGGAAAAAAGATGCTAGGCGCTGCACTTTCTCTCCGGTCAATCGCCTGCTGCTGCACAACCTTTCTGAAAAATGCTAGGTGGACACGGGGCCTTAGACACTTAGAATAACAATCTGAGGCTGTAAGTGACAGTGAATTCATTTTGTTTTCACGCATTTGTCATGAGGATGACAGCCATTACAGCTCCATGTGAGTTATTTAGACCAAAAAACGTGTACTAATGGGACCCAGGTTTAAAAATACTGGACTTCCCCTTTAACAAAAGAAAACCATGTCAGCAAGATTTTATCTGAGCTGCACTCGCCTCACA